GAAAAATCTTAGAACAGCTTTAATTAATAATAAAGTAATTATGTTGCCAGATCACTTACAAAAATCAAATAAATTATCTTCATGTATCGTTCAATTTTCTCATCTGACGGAATTAGTAGATATACAAGAGAATTTGTATTTCAAACTTGCACCAAAATTAAAGAAGAACGTCATTACTCTAACAACATTTAATAAAATGAAAGTTAATATAGCAACTAATATGATAAATAGAGATGTTAGCAGTGCATTACAATTTTTGGGAGATGAAAAAAAGAAAGATGATTATAAGACGACTGCTTTATTTATTGAAATAGTCTCAAAATGGTTTGCATTAATTACTTCGCGAAATCCAATAGTCGCATTAGGAAAAAAAATAGGAAATGCACAATCGGAGAATAAATTTAACGAAACAATAGAGTTTTTAGAATCTGTTCGTGATTTGTTTCGTGATATCCAAATCGGTAAAAAGAAAATCTTTAAACCAATACAGACTGGTATTATGTTAACAACACAGTCATTTATAGATCTTGCGAAATATTTAATTAGCGAACGAGAATATGTGTACGTATTAGGTGGCCGATTTACACAAGATTGTGTAGAGAATTTATTTTCTAATATCAGAAAAAAATTTCCAGTTCCGAACGCACTCCAATTTAAACACAGTTTAAAACTCTTAAGCGTTTCCCAATATTTTCAAGAATTAAAGAATACAAATTACGAGCAAGATGATGGTACTTTACTAGCAGATTTTTTGACAAAGAATAAGAATCTTCCAAAGAATAAGAGTAAAGTTGTTGAACAAGTTCCTATAATCCCGTTTGACGTTGAAAACAAAGTTATTACTTTGAATAATCTGGAAATGAACTCTTTATATAATATATGTGGTTATATTATAACTAGAATTTGTAAGATACATAGAATATGCAATAATTGCATTAATTCTGTAGGATCAAAAACGTTCAATTCCACAATAAAATATTCACAATTTGTGCAATTAAAATGTTATAGGACAAAAACTTTGTTTTTTGTAAATAACGAAACGTTTAATTATTGTTTGGAGATGGAAATAATTTTTCGAAAATATATTCATTATTTAAAAACTACAAACTGTAACTTATTAAACTTTTTTATTCAAAAAATGACTCATATCCGATGTGACACGATAAAAAACTGTCACAACTTATTTNATAAAATAATGACCTATTTTATCCGATTTCGGATCAAAATTTCGAGTAACAACAAACAAACATTAAAAAACTCAGCATATAACAGTAAGACTATGGCTATGCATACTATTATAAAATAACTTATTATAATATTATATTATTAGTATACTATTATTATATTAAATATTATTAATATATATACATTATTATATTAAATATAATAAGAGAAATTATAATATACAGAAAGCTCCAATCTAAATAAATGATATATTATATGTAAACCTAATTATATGTAATATTATACAACTTAATATTACATATGTAATATTATATAACTTAATTCTATGTAATATTATATG